AATAAAATGAAGATAATGCTTCTAATACCTTATGATCATTGTCGATTATATTATTTACATAACATTCTTATATATTATTTAAAAAATAGTATATTTACTAAATGACCAAACACACGAGTTTCAATCAATTTTTTAGTACATCATAATAAGAAAGACAAGATTAACCGAGGTTGTTCAAACAGACATAAGGTAACTAAAAGGCATTACCATAGCAATTAGGATTATGGATTTTCAGTTAATGGGGAGTAGTATGGGACCCATAGTCGGGGAGAAAATTGCCCGTTTGATTGAATACGCGAAGTTGGGATCATAAAAGTTAGTTGGGAAATTGTGAATTTGGATTTTACCGATAGTGCAACTTCTGTACTTTGACAGTGTATAACTCACAAACTGTAAGTCAGAATAAACTCGTATTTTGCAGTTAGAAACCCTTACTATATACTACAACTTTCATGAAAGGTCGAAAAGCCAGTTATGACTCTAAGTGGTTCGAAACAATGTGTGTTCCGGGGCTGTTTCCACCCTATTCAGGATTAATATGTTGTTTTGTAAAATTCGTATAAAATATATGGATAATCAAAATGATGTGGGTGGATTCATATATCAAAGGTAATATTGATTCTTATTAATTTAATATATAAATGTGATCAACGACTCATTTAGCTAACTTCAACAATTTTAAAAAAAATTATCGTCATCGCGCAACGCGCGATATCAAACACTAGTTTTAATATATACTTAATGCTGTAATAATTGTATCCTTGAAAGTTAAGAGTTTGTAAGAACAAAAAGCAAATAATTTATAATATAAGCCATTCACTACGTATTCTCATAAAACTAAATAATTAAAAATTAAAAAAGTAGGGCTTTAGGACCGGGCCCACACGACCGATGTGTTATTGAAGAAGGCACAGTAAAAAAAGTCATTACAAATCCCAAAGGACATATAACATTGACGATATGAAAGTATCCGAACCGCTTAAAATTGGTTACGAGCTCGTAATATCGATAAATACCAAGTTTATATCAATTCTTATATTTAAAATATTTAGGTGAAAGATGGAAAATATAATAGAATTAGAATATAATTAAATAAAGAGGAATATTTGCTTCCAAAAACCTTCCAAGTTCCCATTCTTATTGTTTACAAAGAAAAAAATAGGAATATTATAAAATTGAAATTTTATGTATGCATTACTAATTTATGCTTGAATTATGTTTGGTAAACTAACTGATAACTAATAAACTAACTAATGTTTGATAAGTTAGCTGGTGGTCGATAAGGTAGTTGATGAACTAAATAAGTTTGACAAAAACTAGGTAATAAGTTAGTTGAAAAATGTATAATAATAAAAAAAATGACATGTTTAAAAGTTAATAAAATTTAACATCTCGTAATGTATTTAAAACAATTCACTAATAATATACTATGTTAATTTATACAACCCAGATGTTAAAAAAAATTAATAATAGAACATGGGTTAATTAATGGATTTCAATTTGATTTATTATTATTATACATATAATTTTATTTGTTTTGGGTTTGTATAACCAAATACAAATTTTTATTATTTATTACATACATTGCTGATTTCAAGTAACCATTACATATAATGTTAACAAAAACAAGATTGATCAACCTTACATATTTTAGTCAATTAATAATTTAAAAAAAAATACAAATAAATTAAATATTTTAATTAAAATATA